CTCGCGGAAAGCGGCGCATGCACAGGACCGCGCCGGCGCACAGAACGCACGATGCAACAATGGCTCCCAACCCCACACTGAGCACCCGTGTAGGCGATAGGTATTAGCGTTTACTGACAGTGTCATCTAGCTTTCAAAGAAACACCTGGATGATCTTTGACAAAACTGTGGGGAAACTCAAGGTCCTGCGCTTTAGATTGCTGTCACATATTGCAGTTAGGTCGACCTTGGTTTTTCATTGTTACTATGATTATTCTTTCATTTTTTGAGAACTAAATCTGGCTAGATTATAAACTGCCCATGCCCATAAGGCCAAGGAGCAAGACTGCAAAACCCTATTACAAGTAGGCCTAACTCCAAGGGCTCATTTGCAAGATGGCTGTTTGTAACTCAATTCTTTATTATACAAATGTAAATTGCGTCAATTACCGTGCTGGGCCCTCTTAAGCCCTTTAAAGCCCAACCCCCCTCCAACCTACCTCGTGATGGGGGGGGGGGGGGGGGGGGGGGGGGAGAGAAGGGGCAGGAAGTAGTCACTTGTGTTCGAATTTCAGCGCCAGAGCAAGCTCGAAGATGGGGAGAGGGGTATTACTCAAGTGATCTTCGGTTCTCCACAACCCAAGGGTGGGAGAATAAAGTGGGTACAGTCTCTGCAAGAGCTGTTTATTTGAAAGCTTGCCAAAGGCTAAAGGCCACAGACTGAATGGACAGTAAATCTGAACCCTAAAAGGTGAACAAAGCCATGAAGATTTTAAACACAATCTGTTATAAGGATATGCAAGTGAATGCTGTAAATCGGGTGACTAATCCAAATTGGAAAATTCACACACTAGTTCACTGAAAATTCTAGTACAGTTGGAGAAAGGGCTCAGCTCAGCAGTCACATGAGCAGCAAATTATACATAACACTGGAAAGGAATAATTTTGTTTTTGAAGATAACATGCACTCTGCCCACAAGATAAAAAGCTTTTAATCACTGCAACAGGTGCTCCTTTTAAAGGAGAGAGGATACAGCACACTTCATCTATCAGCTCTGGTTTCAAGACACCAGGAAGGAAATTAGCCCTACCTTCCGTCCTTTGCACCTAGGCTGGTTCATTTATCTTTTTTTTTTTTCTTTTCTTCATTGAAAAGTTAACTTTATTGTTTGGGAAGTAGGAGCTTTTAACACGATTGGGGAGTGGAAGATTGTATGACTATTTGTTCAGAACCGAAATTGGGATACATGTTGTAATGGTCCATTTTTCTTTGACATTAGCAGAAAGTTTATTGCAAATCCATGAACAGCAAAACTAAGTTATTCCAAAATATTTATATTACTACCATTCACCATTATTTCTTTAAGTAAGGGTAACTGAGGAAGAAGCATGCATTTTTCAAAGACACCATGTTAATACGATTAGTTGTGTGTGTGTGTGTGTGTGCGCGTATATACACAGACACATATATATATTGTTCTGCCCTATTAGACTGTTAGCTTCTCTAAAGCAAGAATGTGTTAAGTCTTCCAAGCAAAGCTGTTTTCACATGGATGCATTTGAGTATGTAGATTTTAATGTATAAATGAATATAGATGAAAAACTTTCTTCCACAACCTATTACAAGAGATTTAATTTCAAATAGGAAATGAAAATTGATGCTTTTCAGAAAGTCAGGCTTATCCCGTCTCTGAAATAAAGAAAGATCAAGAGAAAAAGCTGGGACCCACGATCAACACAGGGCCATATTTTGCCCCCAAGTCAGCCAATTACAAACTAATATTTAAACCTGTTTTAAATCTTAGATGAAAACACATAGCTAATTCCAAGTCCCAAACCCAAAAATGTTTGCTCTTACACCTAACCATACTCTTGGGAGCTTCTGATATTCACTTGCAAGTCAATAAAAGTAACTTACAAAGAAGTGCTAAAGATAAGCCAACCTTCCCACTCTAAGGTGCCTATTTTCTCTGAACTCAGAGAAAATAGCTGACATCAATTTCTTCATACAGAGCCTTTCATCTAAGAATTTCAAAATACTTTAGAAAAGTAAATTATTTCTCCTAACCTACTTATAAAGTATTACTAATACATTTTACAAGGATTTCTCAGGAGATAACAGCCCACACAATTTGCTTGAAGCAACAGAACACAAAAAGACAAGCATCATATTATTAAGGTGTGATTTCCAGTACTTAATTCACTCTATGCTAGGTCCCTGTCCCTAAGAAACCTTAGTTATACATAACTTAAATCAGCCTCAGAAAGAAGACATACTTGCATTATATTCTGCCTTCTTAAATCTGCCTTTGGAGCACAAGGTTCAGATGTAGCCTCAAAGTAAAAATTTCATGTCTAATGACTTTCCCTAATAATTACAGAATGGGAATTTCTACACTTCTGAATCCTTAAATCACTAAACAGTGACTTTCTAACCTAAGGTCAAATTACTGGTAATCCTATATAATAAAAGCCTAATATGCAAATTGTCCCCTCAGGCAGTAGTTCAACCAGAAGTTCGACCACTCGCTATGACACGCGCCAACCACCAAGGGGCGGTGCGGATCACAGCAGGCATCAGCGATGCAGTGCTGGCAGCGTGTGGCAGTGGAGGTGCTGCCAGCCCTGATGGGCCCTGATGAGAGGACTGAGGCAGGATGGTGGAGCAGGTGAGCGGGTGGCACCAGGCCAAGATAGGTGTGAGCGAAGGCCCGATCGCCTTGCCAGTCGCCCCACAGATGGCGACCAGCAGCGGTGTTGGGGGGCAGGGCCACCGCCTGACTCCCAGGCCCTGAAGGAGCCAGGTGGGGCCTGGCCCCGATTGATCACCCTGCAGGCAGAATGGTGGAGCAAGTGAGGAGGCGGTGTCCTCAGGCTGGGGGCGTGAGCTGGGGCCGATCTCCTCAGGCCACCCCGAGGGACCCCACCTGTGCATGAATTCATGTACCGGGTCTCTAGTAATTATATAAATGACGGAGGCGGTGTATTGCAGTTATACTGGTAAACTTCTTTATAACTTGTAAAATAAAGCAAAAATGCATCAGTATTAGTTCAGGCAACCAATGACACAACTTGGCCTCCAAGATAACTTAGCTCCTCTTCTCCCCTTTTTCTTCTTTCAGGAGTGGCTCTAAGGGATCAATATGGCCCTCCATTTTCTTTCTTCCTTTCTTCAGTTTTCCTTCCTGCGTTCTTTTTCAGTCCCTTTGCTAATAATTCAGGTTCATTCTTTCCAAGCATTCTTGAGCTCTGTCCCACAACCCCCAGCACTCAACACAAACATGATGGGATGTATGTCACAGATCACAGGTCTCTTTCTGGCCAAATAAAATAAAAAAAAAGAACTCACACAGTGCCCACCACCTTTTCCAGTGGGATTTTACTTCAGGATTAATCTATAACAAATAGATGTTTAAGAGTTTGAGTCCTGCACTCCAACAGATAAGACTTATTCTGCCTTTAGCTACCTCCCTAATAATTTTGTTTCTTCTCTCACAGCAGCTTTTCTCTCCTCATCCTGCCAGGTAAAAGTCCTATTTGATTTGTCAGAGTAGCAGGATGCTAGGATACTAGGTATAGTTTCTTTTTCTTTTTAACTTCCTTTAAGGTTATGTTTCTGGGTGTATATTTTTGCTTTGTTTGGTTCTTTAGACTAAAGGTAAACTGTGCTATGATCAAGGCAGATATGTGTTTTTCAAATGGGTTTCTGAAAAGACCATGAACAGTGGAAGAAGGCAAACCTGGGTTCCAATCTTGACCTATTAGCTATTACTGTTATCTTGGGCAGGTTGCTTAACCTCAGGCTCCAGTTTCCTCATTTGTAAGATGGGAATACTACTTCTTACATCATGAAGTTATTATATGTATTAAGTGAGAATTATGTGATAGATTTGACAGTATTTTCAACTGTTGAGTACTTAATCAATCTTAAATTATCCCAAAGGTAACAAATGTTTAATAAACATTATACATCAAATAGAAAAAAAAAATAATCAAACCAGTAGCTTCACTCCTTGATGTTGATTTAGGAAAAGAAAAATGTTTTAAAGGTTAAATCTGTAAGGAGGAATACAAAAATATATCCCATTATAACAAATACCAGTGAAAAGAAATTTGATATATAATAAAATTTTAAAACGTAAGGCTTCAACTAATGTAGTGTGTATAGTACTTTGAAAGGTAATCCTATCTACTAAATATTCTGAAGCAAGTCCACAGAGTCTGAGACGACATGCAAAATTATTTATGTGTATTTTTCCCATGAATGGCTCCTTGGATTTCAGCAAATTCCTTTAAAAACACAGTATCTGAAAGAGGTGTTGAATAACTATTCTATATTCAAATAATACTGCTTTATTGTTAATGAAATAAAAGATAAAATGACAGTTGAGTCCCACAAAATAATCTGGAGCCATTCCCTGAAATATTTCACAGTATATAAAACCTCCACCTTAGTCTGTGGTAAAAGTCATACACTTAACTGACACTTAGGAAAACCCAGTGGCAACAGACTTGCCAAGCCTCAAGAACTAATGTAAACAAGGGTGTGACAGAGGAGAATAGAGCCTTTCAGGTTATAAGAGCAATTATCAGCTCTCTTGGGACACCTCAGTAGTCAGCAATGACCAGGAGCATAGTTTTCCATAGACCAGGGTAGCAAAGCACTGGCTATGTGGCTTTCAGAGGAAGCGACCTAGAAGGAACTCTGCCCTGGAGGCCTGGGTTCAAATAAAAACTAGTGCTTTGTTAGTTTCCACTTGTTTCCTTCAGAGTTTGAGTTTCCTCCTCTGCTGTAGAGAGGGGTTGTGACTCTATGTAAAAAGTCATACGCAAACATTTGTTGACAGATGTATTTTAAAGTACACACTCTGCCCTTCAAACTTGTGTTAGAGATAACAGAGTACCTAGCTAAATAACGAAAACACAGGTGCTCAATAAGTAGCAAAATAGACATAAT